CTGTTGTGATTCTTTTCTTCCCAAACATAAAATAAATATAAGCCACTCTTTTCAATCGAAGAGGTCGTGTCCCAGTGGCAAAGCTGATCGAAAATTCCCTATAAGTCTTGTGTTCGAAGCCTGCAGGTGACAACTTTATGGGAAATTTTCCAAAAGATTTAAACCGTCCGGTTGAACGGTTTACCGGTTCGAACGGTTTTATCGGTTTTGAATGGTTCAATCACTATACCGGTTCTAAACCTTAACCCGAACCATTTATTGTACCTGATACCGGTCCGACCGGTTCAACCGGCCGGTCCGGTCCGGTTTTTAAAACATTGCTTTTAAGTAATGAATGGGCTGAAATTTTGTGCTAGAATGATATCTCCTAACTGAAGTTTCAGTTTTGTTGGAATTTTCAAGAACTTGTTTTAAATATTTTTGAGGGAACAGCAATAAATAATAGAGCCTATCAAGAATCAAAGCATTATAATGTATCCTGCAAAAAAGTCATGGCTTCCTTTTATTTTTGATTCTCTAGTGTTAAGTGGGAAAAATCCCATATCAATTAGGGGGAAACTTTTAGACTTAATATGATAGGAGCTAGCCCACTTATTCTCAACTGGTTTTAAGTTGGGTGTGCACATGGTATCCAAGCCCAGGCCCCATTTTATGTTGAGACCATTTAGTGTGCAACCCAAGGGAGGTTGTTGGAAGCTGCTAGCACCACCCAGGGGAGGTTGATAGTGGCTGGTGAGCATGGTTGTTAGCCAATGTGCAGGGATGATGTTCATGTTGGAGGGGGCATGTTAAGTTGGAAAAACAATGATTAAGGGAAACTTGTTGGCTACTTAATTTATTGCTAATTGGTTTTAGGTTGGATGTTCACATCTAGTAATTCATATAAGCCTCAAATGGTCTATTTTGGCCCTAGGTTTTCCTGCTTTCTGGGAAATCATCAAGCTTTAGGTGTTATGACCTTAATACAAGTTCCTATAACTTAAGGCCAATTGGTTTTTTAACCTTGACAGTCTCCCTTAACTTAGGAATTACATGATGAATTATTTGAAAACAAAGAAAAAAAGAAGAAGAAGCATGTGGTGCATTTCATATTAATGCATAAATAAGGTTTTATTTTACCTTGTAATGCATTGGATACATTTAAATTAAGGTTGAAGTGAAAATTAAATATAAAAATAGAAATTTTTAAATTGCCAAATATGTCTTTGAGTTATATATAATGAAAAAATTTTAATCTTTGTTTATATAAATTATTAAACTTTCACCTAAAATTAATATATAAAAAGCTCATAAAATTAAATTAGGACTGCTAAAGCATTATTAGTGGTTTCTTGCAAAATCCATACCGGTCAATTGGGAGTCTGGGCTTTGGAGCACAAGAACTTCAGAAATAGTTAAATAAGAACAAATAGTAATTAATAAAAGGAATAAAGCTGTCCTGCAATCTCTATACTGTTTGGACCGTAGATCTTTTTTTTTGATAAGCCAAAAATTTATTTATTGGATACAAGGGTACCAGACCCATTTACATTTCATCAGACATCAGAGTGCTGCCTCTCCTTTACCATATAGCACCTTATAGAAATTTAAAGATCACACCTCCCCATTTAACGTCTCATGTTCAGCATGTCTTTTTATTGCTGATCTGGGGTCTTCTTTCCATAAATCCTGATGTAAATTTGGATATAGATTGGCTTTTAACCAGTGAAAAGATCTATGCTTTATGAGCTCGCCAGCCTCCTCTTCACTATCTTGGTCTTTCCCAAAAACCTTCTGATTTCTCCATACCCATAATGTCCAGATTGTTGTCAGCCAGATTACCCTCCATGCTTCCTTCAACTCCTTTTTTTGATTAAGTCCCATGTGCTGCTCGTAGTGGCTTTTTACATTCACTTGTGCTGCCGAGGAGAAGTCCCACCAAGCGTAACAGAATGTCCATATTTTCCATGAATAAAGACAATTAAACAATAAGTGGTTTAGGGATTCCTCCTCTGTTGAGCACCAGCTGCACATCATTTCTGCCCTGTCGATGATTATTCCTCTTTTTGTCAAGTTGATTTTTGTTGGTAATCTATCGACGAAAGCTCTCCATGCTAGTGCTGCAACCTTTAGTGGTGCTTTACTCTTCCAAATTTGGTTGAGACAGCCATTGTCCTGTGCACGTTGGGATTGGGTGATCTGGTGATAAGCTGACCTTGTTGTATAATTCCCTGTGCTTTCCCATCTCCATGTCCATTGGTCCTGTTGCACTTGCTTCAGATGAACCTGGCTCAAAATTCCTGTTAATTCCTGCAATAAATTATGCTCCCATACAAAAAGGTTCCTACGCCAACTCCACTGCCATTCTCCTGCTTTTTCACTGTCCTATTGTATCACTTTTTTTTGTAGCTAAAGAGAATAATCTTCGGAAACTCTCTTTTAGGCTCACTCTTTCTATCCACACATCTTCCCAAAATAGTGTCTCCTTGCCATCCCCTGTCTTTCTAACACACCCGTCCTTTAACCATCCATTGTTCGAACTATCTACTTTAAACGAGAGGAAGAAATTTTATTTAATCTCAAGTTTGTAAAATAAAAAATAATCTTCTTTGGTTCTATAATCTACCTTTAACATAAATTTTAATCTTTGTTTATATAAATTATTAAACTTTCACCTAAAATTAATATATAAAAAGCTCATAAAATTAAATTAGGACTGCTATAGCATTATTAGTGGTTTCTTGCAAAATCCATACCGGTCAATTGGGAGTCTGGGCTTTGGAGCACAAGAACTTAAGAAATAGTTAAATAAGAACAAATAGTAATTAATAAAAGAAAAAAAGCCGTCCTGCAATCTCTATACTGTTTGGACCGTAGATCTTTTAAACGAGAGGAAGAAATTTTTTTTAATCTCAAGTTTGTAAAATAAAAAATAATCTTCTTTGGTTCTATAACCTACCATTCACATGCTATACCACTGAAAAAAGGGAATACAGCTGAGCTGCTACTCAAGTCTTTACGAAGTCTTTAGCAAAATAAAGAGAAAACTTCTTGATATTGTGATGATATAAATATAGCAATCAATATAATATAAAAAGTTCACCTCTTACTCCAGCTTAGCGTTCCAAGATGTCTTCATTATTTCCATATTTAGGACAAAGGCCTAGTTTTATCCGATGGGACTGTCTGCCAGCGTTGCAGTCAACATAAATTTTTCCATTATGACAGACAATCTCATCAGACAATGCTAGATCTTTTCCTAAACAGCACGAACAATCCTGTGCAGGGGGTCGCATCATGGAAAGAAACGGACTCAAGGAAGAGAATTAATGAAAGAGTTCCCCCAAAATAACATATTTATATATTTAAAAAGAAAAAAAGGCGAAACGATAAGAAATCGATTAACAAGAGATACTTGAAAATCTGAAATTACAGGAGATGGGAAAATGTATGTCATTAATAAAAAAATGAGTGCAAACAGAGAAATAAAAAGAATAGAAGAAGATGATTGAATGGACCTACAAAGAAATCAGAGAGGAGGAGATTGTACTGTGAAATGAAATCACCAATCAGAGAGAAAGAACCGACTGAAAGAATATT